AGAGCAAGAATGTCTGGGAATTAATTATACCTGATGGATAAAGTACAAATAGAATGAATTGCGGCTGATTTTTATGCACAAATGGATTCACTGAGAACTGTTAGACTAGAACTGTCAGAATTAACTGTCTGCTAGGCATTATTTGATTGCTTCTCAGCTTTTAGAAAGAAGAAGGCTAACTGTAACCATAAGAAACTAAGTTAAAAGAACATACCTACGTGCTAAATAGGTGACTGGGCTGCAATAGAGTAGGTACTTTGATGCTACCCGGAACCAAGTGGTCCTAATCCCAGATGCTGCCTGACAGTCTCTAATGTGGCCAAAGAAATGCCAGTGGCCGGAAGGACCTTAGCTAAGTTAGTACCGAGACCTCGATAAAGGCCCTTAGGTCCGTCGTTGACGAGAATGGTGCGGAGAAGGCCAGTTGCCGTAACTCTACCATCTAAGCGTCCATGTCCCCGGCCAGCCTGTAGATAGGCGCTATCCCGCGAGTGGACTGACAGTTGCGCCTGTAGTTTTGAGCGGATGAGGCTGGCTGGATAAGTTGCAACTATCGCAAATGTAGCAGAGAAAGCGGCCAGCAAAGGTATTATATAAGTCGGAGGGTGGAGGTTGGCGGTAGGTAAAAAAGCAGACGAAGAAACAGATGGAAGGGAGACAGAAGGCTGGCAGCTGGTTATAGGCTGCTTAGAAGAGGCTCGATCACCCGTAAGAGAGTGGGAGCTGCAGATAGCAAGGATGCGTCCAGCAAGCAGCATGTATCCATATTAGGGATAAAGAAGAAGTAAAAGCATGCAATTGAATAAAACGAAACCTTGGCCAAAATTTATCCTAGAAAATGACATATCCTTTCACAAATAGAATTCAAAAATCAACAAGTTGTTTATATTGGATCCTGAAGATGTTTACTAAGAGAGCTTAAGAATGATAGAGTAGTTTTAGTATCACTTGTCCTGTGTAGTTGTAGTTTAAACGTCACGATTGACTTCGGTGAACAGTGAATAAATATGCAACTATAACGCAAAATTTTCGTGTAATAAAAAATAAATAGAATCTGAGGATAATAATACAAGAATATTTGATCGGACGGTTTGATCACTAAAGAGTTACACGTAAGTAAGAGCCAAGCAGGGAGGAGATATCCATGAAAAAGCTAAATAAATTAATAAGGAAAAGCAGTTACAAAGTGCATTTACCAAGGCAGAAATTCTCT